TCTCTCTCTCTCTCTCTCTCTCTCTCTCTCTCTCTCTCTCTCTCTCTCTCTCTCTTATACATACATATATGTATGCATGTATGCATGTATGTGTGTATGTATGTATAAAAGAGATATATGGCTTGATGTTTTACTTCAAGTTTTGCCCAAATGTCTTTCTATTTAAAATTGCAAACCTGCACCCCTGCTACCCATTTCCTAGTCCTCTTCTATGCTGTATTTTTCTTCTTGGCACTAACTACTATTTCACATACACTATATTTCACTGATACTTCTTGTTTACCATCTCTTTTATCCTCTGTATATCCTCAGCACCTACAGTAGCATCTGGCACATGCATGGTACTCACTAAATACTTTTTGACTGACTGACTGAATGAGAGATGAAGCTAGGGAGTCGGTAAGTTCAAGCTTATAGAGGGCCTTGTGTGCTCTACTCTGAAGCTTGGAGTTTTCTTTTTAAGATGATAGAATACTAGTATGAAGGTTTCAGGCATATGGGTAAAATGTCTAACTTTTCTTTGAGAATGATCCCTCTGTTTTTTAAAAGATAATACATAATATTAAAAATGAGGACGCTAATTCAGAGGCTGTGAGACTAGTCCAGATGAGGGGTGAGAACCTGAATTGGGACACTGGTTGTGTGGGGAGCAAGAGGAATGAGCAAGCTCAAGAACTCTGTAGGGGATAAAATAATAGGACTCAATGCCATTAGGAGGCTGAGGAAAAAGGACAGGTACCTCCCACATTTGTGGCTTGATGACTTGGTGAGTTGGTGAGTTGAGCCATCAACTTATATTGGGAACAAAGGAGAATGAGGAAAAGCATCCTGTCTGGGAGGGAAATGATTATTTCAGTTTGGTGCACACTGGGTTTGAAGTGTCGATGGAAAGGTCAGGTGGATATTTCAAAAGGGCAGCTGGATATATATGAGTCTAAAACTCAGAGAAGAAGACAAGGTTGGAGCTATAATGTGGGTGTTATTAGCATATAGATAGCAGTGCAAACCTTTGGAATTAATGAACTCATCCAAACAGATTGTATGAAAAAAATGAGTAAAAGACCAAGGATGGAATTTGGGGAACACAGTCATTTCGGGGAAGGTGAACATAGGAGAGAGAGCCTAGGAAGATTATGTAGACATGTTGCAGAGGTAAGAACTAAGAAATGGTCAGATAAGAGAGCAGTGTTTTGGTAGCCAGGAGAGTCTAGAGCTTCCGGAGGAGTTTGTAACAACAGTGTTGAGGGAGTAATTGGGAGGAGGATTTAACATGATCCATTGTATTTGGAAACAGGTAGGCCACTGGGGACCACACTGAAGCTGGTGGCAGTGGAGTGGCAGTAGTGGCAGCTATACTCAAGAGGTTTGGGGGGTGGATGAAAAGTGGGGAAGGGAAGGCCAAATAAAGGCTACTCTTTCAGGGAGCTCCACAGAATGGAAGGACAGAAGTGGGACATTAGGCAAACACCAGTACCTCTGTGAAGTTTCATTGAACCTCTCGTCCCCACCCGTTGAGCCTCCTGTGTGTGCTGTGGCACTTTGTGCTTGCCCTTACTACAGCCTTTGACCAGACTGCAAATGCCTGTTTGTCTGCTTCTTCCTTCAGACTCTTAGCAACTTGAGAGCAGAAACCTTGCCTTCTTCACTATTGTAGCCCACCAAAGAGCACGTGTGTGGTACACAGAGCATGCTCAGTCAATACTTGCAGAGTGACCAAAAGGGAAAGGAGAGGGCTTTGTGGTTTCTTTTCTTTTCTTTTCTTTTCTTTTCTTTTCTTTTCTTTTTTCTTTTCTTTCTTTCTTTTTTCTTTTCTTTTCCTTTTTTTTCATATTAGTGTGACAGAGATATGATCACCTTGGGAAAGAAAGAGGAATGACTTAGGAGATAAAGAGAAATTGAAGGTTGGGGGTGGGGTAGGAAGGAGAGACAAAGGGACAGAATAAATAAATCATAAGGAATGGTTTAGGAGAACATAACATGTGGGATCCAGAACACGGGGTGGAGAGGACAACCCGCATTCTCTAAAAGTGGAAAGAAAGACCCATGGATGGATACAGATAACGTTAAACTTATGGGTCAGAAGAGGGACAGGATACTGAAGTAGTTCATACTTAATGAGCTTACTTTGTGAAGGCTTTGAGATTTGTTTAGGACTTGGAGGAGAGGAGTGAATGTTAGAAGCTGTCACTGAGAGGAGAAAGTACTGATCAAGGTTAAGGCAAAGCATTTGTGGGGGTGTTAAGGGCCTATGGGAGCAGGAGACCATCTATGTGTGGGGGTACCAAGCCGCATGATAGAATGATTTTCTCAGAAATGCTTACCATCCAGGTCTAAGAATAAGGCAAATTGTGTAATAGATCCAGGATTGGGATTCTGCCATATTAATAGAGAAAAATAATTGAGATGCAAGAAGTGTTGGACATTGAAGCTAACGTGAATAGGACAATGAAGCCAGCTCTCTTGAGTGACTAGAAGGAAACGAAGTACTCAAGGATCTCTCTGAAGGACGTGAGATGAGTAGGAGTGAGGGTGAGAGGGAGCTAAGGGCTAGGAGGCTCAGATTCAGAGTTGAAAGTTCCTGTTAAGGAATAATTTGGAGCGTGGACAGGTCTCAAGGTTAACTATGACTGTGTGGCACTCAAGGGAAGTAGAGGTGAAGATTGTTTGAATTGAGGTGGTCAAGGATGTTCAAGGATAGAATGTTAGGCTGGTTACTTCTATGGACATTGACGTTGTCAAGAATCATGTCTAGACATAGGGTAGAAAAGAAACTGAGACCTAGGCACCAAGTCTCTAGTGAGTGAGTATTAATGAATGATTAACAAATTGGTGAATGATAGTAATAAGGACGAATGACATAATTGGAGAGATGAATCCTAAGGGGGTAATGAGAAGGTTGGACCAGGTGCCCCAACCATAAGAAACTTTCAGCTCCAGGATCATATGCATATGTCACAAAGCATTTGGGTTTTTTATTTTAAGTAATGAAATAGATCATAGAATGGTAGAACTGCAAGAGGCCTTTAGAATTCATTTAGTCAGACTCCCTTATTTTACAGACACAGAAACAAACTTTTAGTGATTTAGTCACTTGCTCAAAGACACAGCTAGTCAGTGGCACAGCCATGGCAACAACCTGAGTCCTTGGCTGTTGACCAACAAATTGCTACTCTACCATGTTGCTTTTAAGCTTTCCTTTGTGTTTCTCAGCAACATGTGTTATTCAAATCTGCTGATGTATACATATATTAATTCATGGCCCAAGTTAATGAATCACCATTGTACCCTAAACTAAATTATTATTATCATTAATAATATCTTGAGTTCCTATCGTGTTTTTAAAATGTTTAAAAGTCCTTTTAGAATTTATGTTTTGTTCATGGATTGACTGGAAATAACCTAGTGTCAATGGCAATTCTAATAGTTATTTGTATCTATCTATCTATCTATCTATCATCTATCTATCTATCTATCTATCTATCTATCTATCTATCTATCTATCTATCTATCTTATAACAACATGTAATACATTCTATATCCATATCCTATATCCACATAGAATTACTAGCTGGATAGCTAGCTAAATAGGGACAGAGAAAGATTGAGAAAAAAAGAACAGAAACATTTTGAACCCAGACTATTTAACCCAGTCCTATCAGAATCAACTCTCTCTTAAGGATTTCTGGAGAATATATGTGTATAGAGGATGATACCATGCAAAGGAACACTGTATTATTACATGGGGTGGGATTTTGGCTACAAACCTTAATGCAGATAATAGTGGTATTTATCTAATCAAGTTGTTGTGAGAATTTAAGTATATATATGTATGTGTGTGTATGTGTGTATATATATATGCATATATATATACACACATATATGGCTATTATAACTACTCAATAAGTGTTAACTATAACTATCAAATATTATCAAATGATCATAATTATTGTTAGCTTGTGCTTCTAAATCTTGCCCAGCTCCCCTAGCGATCTTCACTGAAGTCTCTTGAGCATGCAGCCACTTCCCAATGCTCCCCAGTGCAAAGTCTGGTGGCCAGCAGGCTTCTGGGTTTTGTGTAGCCCACATCTCACAAGACTATGCAAGGTTACATGGTTTGATAGCAAGAACGCCCTGTCTCATCTTCTCTAAGCACCCACATGCAATTTTTTTTTCTCTTCCTTTAGCCCCAGTCACCTCTTTCATGTTCAATCAGAAGTTCAATAAATAGACTCAAGATGAGGACTCCTCCACTGCCACTGATTAATGAATAATCTTATATTTATGAAATGAATTGTCAGGGCCAAATCTGAAAATCAGGTTTTATGTAAAACAAAGAAAACTCACTTGGGGGCATAAAATATTTCTTCAAATCTTCCATTCTACCTGCTTTTCTCCCTTGCTCCCTGTTTCCATGATAGAATGTGAACAACGCTCAGGTTATCTCATTTTGTAGCTCAGATGATCTCACTTTGTATCTGTATTAAATTTTTAGTGCAAATTAGGCTAATGTCATTTCTATATTCTACTGTCTTAGTGGAAATTAAATGTGGTTTCTCTTGGGGTCCAAAGGGCACTTTTCTGAGAAGTCATTAACATTGTATAGTATTTACAATTTTCTAAGATCTCATATTATATGTTTATCTTTTATCAAGCAAATAGGAAGAAATCAGTGATTACTGTTATTGGTGCACTTATCTGTTTATTGGATTAACAGTTGTAAAATCTTAGTCCCATTTCTTCCCTACTCTTGTGAATGTAGTTATATAAAATTAGAATTATCTTGTAGGTACATTTTTTAAAAATAGAAGCTGCCCCACATAACAAGGAAATATTAATGCACACATATGTACATACCAAAACACACACTAACACACACTTTTTTTTAATTTTACTGAATTCTTTTTAGATGCTTACTCTGTGAACAAGTTATGATTTCCTGGCTAATGTAGGATCTCCTACCGCTTTTTATCAAAATCACTCATTGCCTGTTCTGCCACATATATAGGCTTGATGAAATGCTAAGATATAATGGGGGTGCCAAAAATTGTATACAAGTGGACACTTTGGTCAGCATTACTCAGCAGTAGTTCTCTGTAATCAGAAGTGTCTGGACACTGATGGTAACCACTTTGAGCACCTCTTGTAATTGCAGAAGTCAACCGTGACTTGTATTCAGCTTTTGTTATCGTTATATATTGAGTAATACAATTTTAATACATTTTTTTCCTTTCTTCAAATGTGTATACTTTTTTTTGGTGCCCTCTGTATATAGTAGAGGGGCCAGATGAGTCAGAAGATCTAATAAAAGAGGGCCGGCTGAGTGGCTCAGTTGGTTAAGAGCTCGCTCAAGAGTTTGAGCTCTGAGCAACAGCGGTTCGAGTCAGCCCGAGCTGAGC